CCACCCGTGCCCCCCCACCTCCCACACTCCGCCCCTCTCCCTTCGGGCCCACGAGGAAAATGAGGCAAAGGCGTCACCAAGAGGACCTACTCCGTCAGTGGAATAGCGCGGCAGGACCCCCGGTCCGACCTCGGCGCACGCGCACTCCTCCCAGACACCCCGCTTCCGCATTCCCTGCCCTCGGGCCGCGGGACACCCCCCCTTGGCTCCGCCCACTGCGAGCAGTCGTTACTCACACCCAGAGTCGTCCTCCTAGCCGGCCTCCCTCGCCCTGCGCGGACTCTGATGCCCTGGCGCCCCCAAGCGGCTGGAGGGGAATGACCCTGGCTCTAGAGGAACTAAAGGCTCAATTCTTGTCCGTTGCTTCTGTTGGATCCTATCAGGAAGGACAGTGGGTCTGTGGCTCAGTGGTCGAGTGGTTTGCCTAGCATGCACAAGGCCCTGGATTCAATCTCCAGCACAATTTTTAAAAAGTATGATACAGGCAAGGTCTGGCCTGCGGCAGCACTGGCAAATAGAAAAGAGACTTAGGGACTGCCAAAAGACTAACATTGCTTAGTTTTGAAGCTGTTCGGAATACAAATAATAGTTGGAGTGTGGATATATCTGTGTGATATACCAGCATAACCTGGCAGGTTTTTGGAAATACTATCAACTACCAAGAATAGTATGCTTCATTCCACCAAAAAGAACTTTCTTGAGGATCACCTGCACTGTAGGTACCAGGAATCTTGCATGAGCAAGATCCGAGAACACCAATAGGGTTGTGGTTTCTCCAGCTCCCTGTAAAGACACTAATCCTATTCAGGACGACTCCCTTCCATGACCTAATTACTTCTTGTGTTCACCAGTTTCACATGACTGAAATGAAATACTGGAAATACTTAACTTGTCCAAAGAGGAAGGTTTGTTTTGGCACATGATTCTGGAAGCTCTAGTCCAAAACTGAGTAGACCCATTCCTGTGTCTCTCTGGTGATAGTGCCAGAAAGTGAATAGTAGAGCCAACGTGCTTACATCATAAACCAGGAAACAAAATATGAAAAAGAGAGGACTACAGCCAGAGCCTCACAGTCCCTTTGGGAGGTACACTCTCAACACCCCAAGGACCTCTCTCTCATAAGGTCTTGCCCTTAAAATTCCAGAGCACCTCCTAATACTGCCACTCTGGAGACCAGGCATTTATCACAAGGATCTCAGGAGAACATTCAACATTCACAGCCCCTGCCAAACACCCGAACTCTACACACCATCACACTGGATAGTTGCAACATTCACAAATATTCCATCCAGAGCATGTTAAAGGTTTTCCCAAATGGCAGCACAAAGAAAAGATACATAGCCAGAAAACTTACTCAAAGTCTAAATCCTCCAGATTCTATACTATAGCTGTGGAAATGTAATGTTCAGATCTGTGTGGGGAATATAGCTGAATGATCCTCCTATCTCTGTGGTTCTAGGTCATCCTTCATATTTGCTCATGATCCCCTAGCTGCTCCTAGCCAATGGCTAAACATAGTGTGACCTTCAATGGATGCCACTCTGTGAGATACAGGACTCCTCTAATGGGCTACTTTGTCAAGGACTCTAATTCCAATCTTTTCTCTGGCTATACTATAGTCTGATCCTCTTCTTATACCATTGTCCTTTTTCCCTTCTTTCCTTTAGTCGGTATCAGATCTGAATTATTTCTGAGGGCCCTCCATACCTCTTTCAGCTCCCTCCCATTATCCTTCTTTAAATCTTTCTATTCAATAATCATTTACCATGTCTGACCTTGTCTCAATCTCTTCTTAGAGGACCTGAAGTTAGACAGGTAGTACTAGAAATGGTATCATCTGAAGGGAAGGTGGAAAGTTAGGTAAGAGTAGCTCACCGACTGTCTAACTGGAGGAGAACTCCATTTGAGTGTGGTATAAAGTGTGGATATTCTCTGGCACAAGATATTGGGCTCAGTTACCAGAGATTTCAATAATGCTGAAGTGGGGGAGGTTTTGGCTGAAGGAGAAACCAATTCAGACATTTGAAAGCTATGAGGAGAACATGTCTGAGAAAGCAATGGAGTAAACTAGTTATTATTACATTGTGTTAACACATTGCAGAATGTGAAACTAAGAGTCCTTAGTAAACAGTTAAGACGGAATGGGAGTTAGGTTCTTGTCTCCTCTACTAGTAAAGTGGGGATGCAGAGGAGCAAATGCAGGAATTACATAGTAACAGTCACTTAACTCCAGCTTCTGTTAAATGCTTAGGTAAAGCAGATCTGGAGCCTAGTTGGGAAAACCTGGTGCTTGTAGCATGGAATAGGGCATCTGAATGGAGTCTTAAGGAATCTAAGAATCTCCAAAGCAGTGACTTTGCTTCATCTCTTCGAGCCCTGACAAGGTCACATGTTCAAAAGATTGTCCCCACATTACTTAACTGTTAGCCAATCTTAACCCTTTCCCATTTTGAAGAAGCACCCTTAAAAACCAAATATCTACAAAACAAGAGAAGATGTTCATTATCATGTAGCTATGCTGACACCTTGCTTTTGGACTTCCAGCCTCCAGAAGTGTGGGAAATAAGTGCTATCTAAGCAACAAACAATCTATGGCAATTTGTTACAGCAGCACAACTTAAGATACAGCACAATCATCAGACCTCTTTTTGAGATTCAGAATTCTTGTATTAGCTTGCTGATACTTAAACAGTGTTTGTCAAGATTCCAAAGCTATTTGTACCAGATGGATTCAGAGGATTAACAAGAATAATTTCCTTTTATTATGCCCTTTAGAAAAGTGATCCTTTCTGAGGATAGTTTGATGAGGTATGAAAACCTTTTGTGGGTAAATATTATGGCTAAGATCTGAAGTGACTCTCAAAAGACTCATGTGTTAAAGGCTTTGTCCCAACTGATGGATCCAATAATTGAGAGGTAACTGAGTCATGATGGCTCAGATCTAATCAATGGATAATCCACCAGGATTTTCTTCATTTGATGGCAGAATTGGGAAGTGGTGGAAGCTAGAAGTGTGTCATATTGGAGGAAGTAGATTACTAGAGATGAGTCTTTCAAGTGTGTATATTGTCCTTAGTCTCTTCCTGTCACTCCCTCTGCTTCCTGGCTGCTATGAGTTAAGGAACTCCATCATGTCTTCTCCTCCGTGATGTTCCTTCTGTCCTCAGACACAAAGCAATCAAGCCAGCTGAATCTGAACAGAAGCCATGAGCCAAAATAAATCTTTTCTCCTTTAAGTTGATCTTCTAAAGTGTAAGGTAAATTAAATAGATTTCATTAGGTAGCCAATGAAGAGAACAACACGTGGTATTCAGGCAGGAAGAGAAGTTTATTTATTCCAAACTGCCTGTCCCTGCCATGCATGGTTGAGACATGGCCAAAAGAGGCCAGGACTTATCTAGGCCAGGGGCGGGGAGAAGGTGTGACCAGGTGGGGGAAAGGTATAGCCACATGGGATCTGAATGTGACCTCAGGGCCTCCCAGGATGTGACCTCAGAGGAGGAGGAGGTGACTGCTTCCAGGTGTGTCAGTTACCTAGGTGACTCAGGTACTAGGTGGAAACTTAGCCAAGAGGAGGGAGGGGTGTGCCCTGCCTTCCTGGGGTGGACCTTACAGAAAGTACTTTGTCCAAAGAGAAAAAGTGACTGACCCAGGAGAAGAGTTGTCCCTTGAGATCTGGCTTCAATCACTATGCACACAAATATTGATCTCAATCTGTTTTCCAGGAACTGAGCCTAATATAATTCTATTCCGGCAGAGAGTCACTTTGGTTCACAGAGACTTTGATTCCTACATCCCATAAGAAGCCAAACACTGGGCTGGGAAGGTGGCTCAGTGGTAGAACGCTTGCCTTGCATGCTTGAGGCCCTGGGTTCGATTCCTCAGCACCACATAAGCAAAAAAGAAAAAAGCTGGAAGTGGGGCTGTGGCTTAAGTGGTAGAGCGCTAGCCTTGAGCTGAAGAGCTGAGGGACAGCGCCCAGGCCCAGAGTTCAGGCCCCACGACCGGACCCAAAAAAAAAAAAAAAAAAAAGCCAAGCACTGAAATAAAAGTGATAGTGAAGTAAATGCTGGATCTAACTAGTGCCATCTTGGCCACATGGTGGATGATAGGCTATTGGGTATAACTAGAGCCATCTTGTATTCATGGAGGAGGCAGGGAGGTCCCACCTCCCAGGTGATAGCCATGCCTGGGTTTCTAGAGGCAGGGACAGATACTTGAATGACAGCTTACTGGGCTTATCAATCCTGTGCCTGGAACTTAGGAGACTCTTGAGTTTTCTGTGACCCTGACCCTAGATCAGACCTGATTTTAGGGTCAGAGGAGGAGAGATGCATGACTCCAGACCTCCTATGCTGTGTCCAGTCTCCTGGCCCTGCTCCAGTCGGCATGGCATCGCTCGTCAGCTCTTGACCTAGTCAGACCTCTGTGGTGAGTGCTGAAAATCAGGTGAGAACGCCACAGGATTTGATAAAGGTCACATATTTGGTGGGCCATGGAATGTGGGTGGCACCTTGACTGAAGTGGCCCCTCACTGGTCTTGAAGAGGTGCTGAGCATGACTGTTCACACAGCTGCAACAGCTGCACCTCCACTTAGAGAATCTCAGCATTTCCATTCACAGGTTCTCTTCCAACAGAAGTTGATTTGGTGTTTCCTTCATCTTCACGTTTGACTCCTTTTACTTTCTCAGCATCCCAATCCTTTCCTCCACATGCACATCAGCAGGTAGGTTTGGTATTCTAATTTTTTTTTTTTTTTGCTTGAAGAGAATGGACAACTCAATGTCGGTTGTGCTATTTTCATGAAGGACACTTGGATTTTCATTGCATCAGCTTTCTGGCTTGTTTTTCTGCCTCTAACCCCATCCCTCTTGAATAAACAGCAGCCACTATGTCCTAAAGTTGGTGTCAGGGTAACACAGCATGGCTGAGGGGTCCCCAGGTAGGGCCAGAGGGGAAGGCCAGGGCTCTCACACACCATTGCTCCTTTTACAGAGATGGCTTCTTCAAAAGTTCCAGTTGAGTACTTTCCCATGTGTTGGTACAAATGATTATTTCTTATTGTACAAGTAAAATATTAATGCTACAAAAAAGCAACATTAAAAAAAAAGAAAATTACCCTTAACCTTACTACCCCAAAATAACCACTGCTAACATTTTAATATGTA